TGTACTGTCATCTCTTGTCTAGAATAGTTCCTTTGCCTTCAACTAGTCTCTCTGCTTCCAGTTTTAATCATCTTTTGCTTGTTTTTCCAACTGTGGTCAAAAGGGTAAAAACAAAATGAAACAAAAACACGCCTGTTTCACCACTTCCATTCAGTGACTTCCCACTGTTGTCAGAAGAATGATTTGGCCCCTGCTGACCTCACCAGCCTAACGTCTTGCCCGCCGCCTCCAACTCTGTGCTTCAGCATTACAGGCCTGCTTTCAGCTCCTCAAATGCTCTGTTCCCTCAGCTGTCCCCCGCCCTGTTGCACATGTTGTTCTGTCTGTCTGGAATGCTCTCTTCCCCTCTCCTCAAATGTAACTCCTATTCATCTGCTAGAGCCCAGTTCCCACATTCCTTCTGCAGAGAAACCTTTCCCAACCCTCCAGAGCGGGTCGGGTACTCTCACTGTATGTGCTCCTGACAGGCTGGCTTTTTCTTTGTGACAGCTGTCATTGCACGTGTTTACACATTTGATTAATGTCTATCTCCATTAGCAGATGATAAATCTAATAGGTCTGGGTAAATATTAGTTGAGTAAATGAATGTTGAATGAATGTTTATAAAGTATCTGGCACATATCCTAGCATCTTCACACAGTAAATTCACAATAAGTGGAAACTATTATCATTAGGATCCCTCACGTCTGTATTATTCTTATAGGGTCCTGCCCCGTGTGCTGTTGGCTTTTTGCACTTCTTTCTGAAGTGAGGACTTTTCCTGGCAATTCTAGTAGAATGGGACAGTGGTGGTCATTCACTCTTGATTCATTCCTCATTCAGATACTTGATAAGGAGCATTTTACATGTATTCTCATTTAATTCTCATAATTCTGTAAGGTGGGTGCTTTGATTGTCTCCTTTTTGTAGTTGAGGAAACTGAGGCACAGAAAGCCTAAGAACCTTGCCCAAGGTCGCTGAATTAGAGAGGGGCGGGGCTGGGGTCTGAACCTCCCTGCTTCATTCCAAAGTCCGCTCTCTTAATTGTAAGGCTGTGGAGCCCAGGACAGACTGGTACGGTGAACCCAGTGAGGATGGTATGTGAATAAATGTCCCTAAGCCAAGTGCTGCGGAAGTCCAGAGAGCGGAGAAGGGGAAGTGAGGCACTGGGGAAGGCTCGACGGGGCCCCTTCGGTTAGGACCAGGCCCGGCTGGATGGGTTGGTGTGGGGTTTGCAGACAAGAGGGTGGAGGCACTCCAAGCGGAGGAGCCCCTCAGGTGAGAGAGAAGGTGGAATCCACGAGATGAGAGGAGACTTTAGAGATAATGGAACCTCTCTTGTTTCGGTGCCTCTTAGATTGTTTTGTGCCAGAATAATATCCGTAACCAGGCCCACATGAGCAGAGTGGTCACCCACGAGCTCGTTCACGCGTTTGATCATTGTCGCGCGCACGTCGACTGGTTCACCAACGTCCGACATTTGGCCTGCTCTGAGGTAAGTTT